GTATATTTTATGTTTTTAAGAGAAGTTTTGAAATATATTTTTCCACCGGGCAACGCTGGGTACTTCCCACTATTAGTGAAAAAATTGAAGAAAAACATTTTATTTTCACGTACCTTGTGTCCTGATGCTAGCTTGCTTGTCAGAAGGGGGCAAGGAGTCCCCACAATTGAACCTTATGGCGGGACACCGGGGTCACGAATAAACGGAAGTCAAAATCGTAATGAATTTATTTTTGGCGACTTCGTCCCACCACGCACATAAACGCCGCGACCCACCTGGCGCGGATCATTCTGTTGTCATGTCGTCCAAGCGCAGCAGTGAGGATGAAAACGCAGAAGAAACAAGACTTTGAAACGTTGATTAGCGCATCGTGTAGAGCTCGTCGAGAGGAATAGAATAAAATGACGTCGCAAAGCAGTTGATGTGAGAGCCGGGGGCTTATGGGACCCCAGAGTCCCGCCATAAGGTTCAATTGAACACAGACACACACGAGGGCATGCGCGTGCAAAGTCAACAATCCCTTATCTCGCTTGAACAGACTTTAGGCAAGTGCTGTTAGCGAGCAACGCTTTTAAAGACCGTGCACGGCACACGGTAGGATGGGTGAGGTGGCTTTCCACTACCACGCCCGGTCGCCTTTGTCTCCCCAGTGGCAATGTTTACACAGTGCATCAGGTACTCATTTGTGGCCGGGTCGACCTAGGGGAGGCCCCCAGGACCGGTTCAGATAATCATCACTGCTGTTGACGGAGTATGATTTGAACCCGGTTGGCCAGGTTCGTGGCGCAGCACACTACACTACCACAATGGGACATGCAAACAACAGCCTCCATTCGCCACTCAGTGGTGGTGACCTCACGATAGTGCCTGCGTCAGGCCATACACGAAGGCGACGACTAAGATCCTTCATATAACCTGTAAAAGACTGTTAGCACCTATGAAGGCCGGAATGGCACACGAGGGGGTGGATGGCCAGCACCACGCCCTGGCTGCTTTTGTCTCCCCAGTGGGTAGTCAATTTGAGGCCGGGTCAACCTAGGGGAGGCCTAGGACCGGTTCATACGTGAGGGCAGGCACGCACACTCACACGCACATTAAATCTCACGGCGGATCGCTGCAGTAAACAAAAGTTATGCAGTTTGCAAGTCGAAAGGTTAAAAAACATCTTATGGAGGTTCGTTCGTAAGTCAGGTGTTCATAAGTTGGGGAACTGCCTGTTATTGTTACACTCTTATTGAAGCTACCGTGTTGTCTGCTTATCTTTGGAATATGACGCTTAATATCTTCGAATCTACGAAGCTTTAACGAGCTGAAATTTTCTACACACTCGTCTACTCACGTGGGAATTCAAGATTTCATAAGAAAAATGATTATGATTGCGATCGCTAAAATAATTACGTAGTTATAATCTTAATAAATAGTATTTTCGTTTGTCATGCCCGTTCCGACTTGCGGAGGGCAACAGGGTTACCGTATTTTCCCGCATATAACCCGCGGGGTATACCACTTTTTACAAACAAAACAAGACCCTGCGGGGTATATGGAGGTGCGGGCTATCCCAAAAATATTTTACACGTGTGACATGTCATAACTCGTTTAATGTTTTCATGGTAGGACTATCCACTATGCAACAATTACCTTTGACTAAAGCACTGCTGAATAAATCACTCACACTAAAATTGCACATGTTATCACGTAAATGATTCGAATTGTTTGTTAAATGAAACGACAATGTTTGAAGTGGGCGCAATACTTTCAGTGGCTGTAGGGGAGTGCGACATTTTCAGCTGAGGCTATGGATTGCACAATGGGAAGGGCCTTAACAAGCGTCTACCAGACGCAGAATCATAATTGTTGAGTCCCTTAGGCCGCTGCTATTAGTTGAGCACTATACAGTCGCGACCATGAGCTTTTTTTAAAACTTCCAATGGCTTTGTTGCCAGGAGGCAATGGCGTTACCGTAGTGCCGCTATTGTCTGCGCAGCGCGCAATCTACCAGTGCTAAAACTGTACAGGGGTAACTACCGGTCCAGTAGCTGGTAAGCCTAACAGTACGCTTACTTACGGTACTTATCTACCAGTTATGTTACGTATTTATTGGATATTTACTTTTGTTACTTATTTACTGTTTTAAGTTCACTCGTTTCCGGTTAGTTTGTTTTCTTTGTGCACGTTATGATTTTAATGTTAACAATTGATAGTGGAATGTATTACAAATGTAAACTTTGTATTAATGATGGAATTAAGCTGCGGTAACGACGTTAAAGATATGAATGCATGCGGGGTATATGGAGGTGCGGGCTATCTGAAATTTGTTTTACACAAAACGCTATTTTTGCGGGGTATATGCGTCTGCGGGTTATATGCGTATGCGGGTTATATGCGGGAAAATACGGTATACTAAAGTTGATCGAGCAGGTGAGAACGGTTGTTTTCGAATTAAATGCCGTAATGCTATTCCTGTTTTAATTGCTCAAATGTTTTCATTATGATTGTTGATATTAGTGCTTTAAATTAAAATGCTAAATCTACACGTTGAATACGGTCTCGTGATATGCACTGCAGTCCATATGTGCACATTATAGCATTGCAGTATACATGCCTTAACAGAAGATGCCATAACAGTCTTTCATACAGTACAGTAATGATCGCAAATACGACAATAAAATGTTATTTCACGACTTTGAAATCGGCATGATCGTTATCGGGAGGTAATGACAGGGGAGTCAGCTAGCAGTACGAATGCACTGGTGGCTATGGAATGATCGAGAATTGGTGCGTGGCCAGGTGACGGAAGAGGACGGTGGAGTCTGCTGGTAGAGCTAGCGTCTAGAACCAGCTAGAAGGTTCAGGAATGGGGGCGTGGCCTCGGTCCATATAGAATGGAGATGAGCAGGAGACTCGGCTGTTGGAGCGGGGTCTCTGCCTGTTCAAGTGAACGTGTCTTCAATAAAAGAAACCACCTCAAGAAAGTGTCAAGTCGTCATTATAACTGGTATCAGAAGTGGGATCTTGTCATCATGTCACGATATAACCGTTGAGGGAACCCACCGGAAACGACTTCTGATGAGGAAAAGAGGGAGCGGAGACCCCCTTCAGCAAGCCCTGGGCGGCGGGGATCCGGTGAACAACACAGCAGGTGAGGACGAAGCTGCGGCGGCAACGAGGAAGGAGGCCGACCGACAGTAACAAACTACAGATGGATGGGACGAGGTAGCGGGACGTCTGGACTGCCTGTTGGCAGCAGTCTCGCAGCTCACCGTACAGCTTTTCGTGGCTGCGGCAAGATGGGGAGCAGCAGAGAGCATGGTGGGGATCCTAAATGGCGGCCGAGTAAACTACAGCTCCAAGTGCGTGGGAGAGAGCAACGGACCATCCACGGTAAAGGAGTTTGTGCTTCCTCCATCTGATGGATGGAGGAAGCACTGAGTGCCCTGCCTACCGCCCTTGATGACGACGCCCTCGCGGTTCCGAGCTGTGCCGGAGGAGCGTATAGTGAGATGGCTGAATGGTGAGTGGACTAGTGGCCACAGGAGGTAATGACAGGGATCAGCCTCCAGTGCGAATGGACTAGTGGCCACAGGAGGTAATGATAGGGGAGTACGCCTGCAGTACGAATTGACTCGTGGCTACGGTAATGATCGATAATAGGAGCGTGGCCAGGTGACGAAAGAGGACAGGAGAGTCTGCTGGTAGAGCGTCTAGAACCAGTGAAAAGGTTCGGGAATGGGGGCGTGGCCTCGGACCGTATATGAGATGCGCGGGAGACTCGGGGCTGTTGCAGTTGGGGTCTCCACCTGTTCAAGTGAATGTCTTCAACCAAAGAAACCATCTCAAGAAAGTGTGTCAAGTCGTCATTACAATGTTATGTACAAGGGTTGACAGGCAAGAAATCATTGTCATGAAAAAAACTTAGGTAAACAAGCTTATTAATGCACACACTTTAGTTTGCACTCTAAAGTACAAAATCAATTATTGACTTCCAAATGACTCACAGTTTGAATGGCTTAATAAAAGTGGGTGACTTACATAAAAAAATGAATCAGAAAGGACGCCACATACTTTTATTCAGCACGTGAAATGTGATTAATTCTGGTGAAAATGATGTATTTTGTACTTGAGAGTGCAAATAAAATTGTGCATTGAAAGGATTGGGTTTTTGTGCTTCTGTCCATTAAGGAATGGTGCTTAACACTGCCTTCTCTTTTATTGTTTTTCAATATATGCGAGTGGCTGATTGGCAAGTGTAGCATTAGTGTGAGGAACACGAATTCATAGCCAGCAGGGGCATGAACATAATGAACACTTTCCAAAAGTAGTCAGGCGAATGGACATGGAGATATTAACTTAATTCTATTGGAAAACCAACCCCCAGGTTGGCATGATGCAACATACCTAGAAGGAAAGGCTAATCACAAAGACTTAACCAAAATATAGGTTAGGAGGTATAAGTATCTAGACGAAGTCGGTTCATATACTTAATTGTAAACTGATAAGACGCCCCCAATTTAATCCTGCAATAGCATATTAATGGACAATGCAAACAAAACGAGTTATTTTAAACCACAAGTGCCATGATCTGATTTGAAATGAGTATTTTGTGTTACATTTTTTTTTACAGAAATAAAGTAGAAAGCCTGGAAGTTTATTATGAACCAGTATGGATCTCGGCAGCGTACAAGAATAGTTGAAATTTATTTCAGAATTGTTCAATTATTTCAACAGACTATAGCAGATATTTTAAGACCCGAATGGTTCCAACTTTGCATCGGGCGATTTCCCTATTTCTGGAATCAGGAACGGTGGATGCAAAGTGTGTTGGCAGACCTCGAACCAGTAGATCTCAAGACTTCTATTGAGCAACGGAGAGTGTCAATAAGTGATGGAAAATGCCGTTGAAAGAGCACAGATTTTCCAACGCAACGCAGGCAGTCATTTATAAGATTATTCTTCATACATAATTATATCGAGTCTCCACGAATTAAATAATTTCGATCATGTAGAGTTTGTGTTTTTATTTCATTTTTTACAAGTTGTAGGCAAAACAATCGAGTAGTTACTTATGGCTCACCCTGTATAAATGATGGGTTATAATTATATGAACAAGACTTGGGGAATGTTCTGGTAAAGTGGGATGCTCGTCTGTAAAATGAGAAAGGGAGAGATTGCAGGAAGCCATTTGACAAAATATTCAGCAGTTAATGTTTCTGGTAATGGAAACGTTTATTCCATGCTTATATACAAATGTTCTACCACAAACTTGTGATGGGATAAATCTATTTTCACGACTTGATAAAACAAATTTACAAATGACCGCAAGTCAAATGTTTTTCTCATAAAAGCAGTATCAGCAATTCATAACCTGCATGGTAATTACTTCTCAAAATGTTACAAGACCGTGAGTCATAATGCACTGCAGAGTTTTACTCTAGTCATGAATAATCAAGAATTAAGCCATAATGGTCATTATTTGTCCTGGAAAGCCTCAACAAAAATCACGTTTTTTCTCACATTAGGATAATCAATTCCTTTTAGTGTTTTGTATGTGGGATAAGTGCCAGGAGAAAACCGGCACATGTGGAGAAGGAACACTCTAAAATTGCAAAAATCGACATGGAAGAAACGTCCTATACAGGCAACCCCGGCACACCTACGACCTAATGTGTTGCTGGACGCAATTCGAGCCGTCTAAGTCGAACCCTTATTTCCCAGTTGCAATGTTATCAATTGGGGTTCCGTATCTGGAAACCCATTACATACCATAAAAATACCAAAATTGACCACAAAAATAAATGAAAATAACCCTAACATTTATTGCAACTCAACATAACTTTCACAAACATTAAGTAAAAATAATATTAAAATATACTTATATTTGAAAATTCTCAAGTACTTTTCTGCGTGACAGTTCCTCTTCTCGGACACAGAAGAGGTCGAAGATTCGAGTTTTCATCTCATGTGGGGGGGGTCTTACTATAAGGTCGTAAAAGTGTGGGGTTGCAAGTTGAGCCGTCCTAAGTCAGGGGTCACCTGTACTATTATACACTTGCCATCTCGACCAGCAGGCTGGGATTCTCGCAAATATGAGAAACTGCGTAATTCAGCCAAGACATTACCAAGTTATGCCGTAAAATTGCCGTGCTGCAGCGAGGGTTTCATTGGTGCTTTCTTGAACCATTGACAAACATCCCAGTTCCAACATATGCGTATAACTTCGAGCTTTTAAGCAAAAAAAAGTAAAACACAATCTGCAATGACTACTTGTGGTCACATCACATTTTTTTTCATAAACAAAAGAGTAGGAACACTGCTACAGGTGAACAGTGCAGACAGGAGGCGTTCACTGCTGGCATTACACAATGTTGACAATGCCTTGTGGTATAGAGTACATCTTACAATCTTACACTGAAATATCCATAACTGTACACGACTAGAATTCTGCATCAGGCCAGATACCCGTGAGTGCCCATGGGTGATCCACAAGCTGGTTTATTTCGGGTCTGAACAAAGTCTGTATTATTGATTGCGGGTCACGTTCATTGTAGGTCCTCTTTGTACACGGCTCTTTAGCTTTCTTAACAGAACTTTAAACATTGGGTGACACATTTCAAACTTGAAATGCACATTTTCACTTTCATATAAACATCTGGACTCATTCTGAGTAACAGCCACTGCATACTATTGGCAAAGTACTATGTGTCAGGTGTGGTTAACTCCCTGTCAATAGCTCGTCTTTAATGGATGTTGTTGCTGAAACACCGCGAGAATGTAACCAGATGTAAATCATCACTGAATATTTGTTGCAGGTTTGGGTTAGATTACAGGTCAATAAGTTACACCTGTGCAGGACTGCTGTACATCACTGATATTAATAAACACAATGACGGTTGTATCATGCTCTCAGCCTGTTTCCACACCAGTGCACCACCCAATTGCGTGTAAACTGTCATCAGCAGGTTAACTCTATATTGTGCCACATGCCCATGACAAATCGCTTCTATGGAGGAGTTTCACAGTCACAGGATATTATTCCGGATGCAAGCCACAATCGTAACACCTGCTGTCACTTTCCATCGCCACTCGCCTTGCACGGTTCACTCTGCGCCTTCTCCTCCATGTATTTCTGGAGAGGAAAATCATCATCATCAGGGTGTGCTGGCAATATTATACATCAGCAATAGTTTATTAGACTGAAACACCATCGGTAACGATCTAGCTAAACACAACTCTTGACACACAAACAGCCTTCACACACACCTTTTATGCCACATTCAACTTCCAGTGCTGCATATTTACTGAGATAATACATTTAAAGAAATTAACACACTCATCGACCAGCTGAAATTACCTGATAAAAGAGCCACACAGTATGGAGGCCTTACTTAAAAGCAGACACAAAGGTCCATGGGTCCTGTCTGTATATGTAACTCAAATCCAATGGTTCCTATTTTAAGTCTGAGTTCTATGTTCATCTGTGTGTCTGACAGTAAGCCAGTCCTTTGTAAGTGTATGGGCTATCTGTTTTGAGTCCTGACTAGAACTAGGCATCAATAACAATACAATTGAAGTTCTCTTAGAAAATAATCAATGACCTCACATCAGCTATCTACTGTCCATCTGCTTGACTCTGATCTCTATGTTAGTCAACAGACACAAGATCTTGGGTTTCATTCTTGACTCTAAGCTCTCCTCTCCTCACATGTACATTTATGTGCAAGACCATCTTCGCAAAATTTATCGTATTCCGCGATTTTCTCCAATATGGCTGTAGAAACAATAATTAATGAAATTGTAAAGTCCAGGCTAGACTACTACAATTCTGTTATTTAGTCTGTTGTCTCTCATCCAACGTTTACAGTACGTTCAAAACGCAGCTGCAAGAGTACCCACTCATACCCGTAAGCATCATATTGTAATGTTGTGACCTGCCCCGACTGGACATCTGTGAAAAAGAGCTTTATAACTCATCAGATTCCTCCAGTAAGAATATTCTGATATTACCCCCATATTACGATCCGTCCACTGGCTACCTATTTAGTCCAGAATCACCACAAAGATTGCACTCACGGTTTTACAAAATTCTTCACGGGTTAGCCCCTGCCGATCTTTCTCCTTTGATTTCAGTTCACTCCCCTCCCCGGGTTCTCCGTTTATCTTCTCTAGATCTGCTCTCTAAAACCAATGGTGGACAAGCTTTCTCATTCGCAGCCCCTGCAGTCTGGAATACCCTCCTCCCAATGCATTATCCGATAAATAATTTCCATCATATTATTAAAATCTGACGAAAGGCATTTTTATTCATCCAGGCATACGCTGAACAATGAGTTAGTTACATAATGGACATTTGACCGACTGGTATAAATTAGTCTAAACTTCTTGGCACTCCACCGGCCTTCCTGTGAAGGTTTTCTGGCTTGGTTGGGAAGTTGGGATTGTGGTTTCGGATGTGTAGGCCTCATCGACTCATCTCTCTGTTGTAAAAAAAAATATGCTGTTGTGTCTTTTAGTTTGGTGCCATTTCTTTATTTGATTATTCATTTTTAGTTTTTGGTAGTACAGTTTTTATTTGCTTGGTATTGATTTGTATGTGGGTTTTGGTGCCTATATATATATAATTAATCTACAGCATCATGGGCCGCTATTAGCATGAATGATTCTTTATAAAAATTTTATTATTTATTTGGATGGCTGCAGTTGTAACACAAGATGCCTTGTGTAACGTTGGAGGAAATTTGACAAGCCCTGCCACCGGCACTGGCCAGATGGATTGGTAGCACTGCTAGTTTTCATTCACCGATCGCAGTACAGTGCCCATGATACATCGTACGGTGTAATAAATGCACAGGCGGAAGCAGTCAACATTATCATCACGAATATACAACTGATTAATTATTTCACTGGAGTCTGATGCTACTAAACTGACCACCCCCCCCTTCCCGTGCTGGGCTGACGTGCCTGGTAGTTCAGGTGGTGCTGGGCGCTTCTGCAGTGCTTAATCTTGGCAACTTCACTATTGGTGGAGAGGATGCGGCAGAGCTTGCAGTAGAAGCTTCGGGTGATGTACTCCCAGCCTGAGCACAGCAGATGGCTATTGTTAAAAACACCACGACCGCCACCAATGACTTGCTCGGGCCGCCCGTTGGTCTGCGGCGTGGCAAGAGGCAACTCCCTCATCCTCATCATCTGCGAGTCTCCAGCAATACAGGAAAACCTTGTCAAACACGGCGATTACGTTCCTGGAAGAGACCATGTTGGGCAAAACTACGTTTGACAAATAACAGACCTTGTGGAGTCCGAAATTATCACCCCCCCCTCCCTTATTGTTTAACTAATTGTACATGATTTTCCCCCAACTTGGTATCACATACAAATGATATCATCGCCAAATTCCATCTCCAAAACTCGTGCGGTCTGACTCTTTAATCATGGCCCCAAGCGTAAGTTGAGTGGTGGTGATTGTTGTGAGAAAAAGCAGAGACAAGTAGTGACTCGAGTGCAAACAGTGCAGTTGTTAGATAGGATTAGTACAGTACTATGGTGTGAATGAATCAACTGAGTATTATTTATATACCATGTGTGTTTTTTGTGAATATTTTTTGTGTGATAATGTAACACATACTGTACACAACACGCTCATTCATAAAGCAAATGTTGACACAGTGTCGCAAGCATCTAGCCATACACTAATTGAGGACGATAGTCATACGGACGGCTAGATGGCAAATCATTCGCGTTCAAGTGACAGTGTTAGGGGCGAGCGTCAGGCTGTTAGATGCGAGTGTTGGGCGTGAGTGCCTCTGTGCGGAGAGAGTAATGTCTCGAGGTGAAATAAAAAAATAAAGCATCCTTTAGTACAGTAAGAAGGGCAGAAATCATGTAGAATTAGTTATATAATGAGGGAGGGGGTGATCAATTCAGACCCAGGAATGCAATCCATTTTTCCTGAGGTCAATTATTTGTCTGATTAGCATAGTTGGCTATGTAATGTGTAAAAGAAGTTCAACATAAATACATACATAGTCGAACGCGGTTTTGCCCAACACGGTATTTACAGGAACGTAACCCCTGCTTTCGGCGAGGTTTTCCCATAAATGTTTACGTTAAATACACAAATGTTTCGAATTGTATTGTATATTTTGTTATTTATAACTTAATTTATATATTCAGGTGCAAGCCTATAATGGCAGCCCTCTGAAGGCAACTTTGGGATCACAGGCAATGTCCGAGAGCTGAAGTCTTACCAGGAGGGTCCTGCTGCGGGGTGTCTTTGTGTTCAGACGGCCCCATTTCATTTGCCTGGCTTCTGGCTTCATTGACTGGCGGATTTCCCCCTTCACGATGCTCAGTGTCTAAGGAAGGACAGCGAGGAGAAAAGCAGGAATGGAAATTTAAAAAAAAACACGTGAATTTCCTCCACTGCGATGCAATAGACAGCAAAAAATGTTGCTCAAATATCTGGCCAATGTCTACACAGCATCTCTGTAACGGACCCCCTCTGAATACAAGCATTCACATTCGTACGTGGCCTGTTGCAGACAGGCTGGGCATTAGCCATTCACGTAACGAGGACTACATCACAGGAACATGTTCACAAATTCTAATGCGTTACAGTATTCCCTCGTTATTCACGAACTTCCTATCCGCAAATTTTAGCCATCCGCGAATCGCATCTGGAACTCTACACGACTGCATCTCGAGAGAAAGTGATCAGATAAATTAATGACGGATAAAGTGATGAGAATGTGATGAGATAATTTTAATTTATTTAATAGCTTATTTTCGTAATTATTTTAAGTAATTCATTAGAAAGAGAGATGTTTGTAGGCCAATATCACTATTCCCAAAGTGTACTATTCACGAACATCTCCGGAACGTATCCCTCGCGAATAACGAGGGAATATGGTACTCAGTGTATCGCGCTTACCGGGAGGCTGCTTCTCTGAACTCGGAGCATCTTTCGGCATCGACGCATCCTCTACCTGGATCCTGGACTTCTTAGCTGCCGGCTCCTCCTCTGGGAAGGGAAGGAGAGCGACCAGAAAAAAGGGAAAAAATTATGATTAATCATGCACCTTTAATTACCATGGTAAAAAATATATATTTTACTTCACGGCTTTGCTCGTTCTCATTTCTCTCTCAAGGTGACAACAGAGGAGCAATGCTGTTGATGCTACACCTCGCCATCAATTCCTCCAAGCACTATTCTGAGATCCTCATCACTGCCACTCAGCTTTAGAGCTTTCCCGAGGTCTGCAACCTCTGGGTACCTTAAGTTAATCCGACTCACTGACCCACCTGGATTCTCTCTCTTAGAGGTTTGGCCATCCCCCAGAGTCTGGTTTTCCTCTGCCTGGCTCTTGGCTTCCTCGGCGATGGGTTCCTCCTTTTTACACTGCTCAGATCCAGCATGAGGATCTTCCAATCCTGTCAAAAGTCACTCATTAACAGTGACTCCACAAGTAAATATTCATCAAGTCAACAGGAACATAGCAACACAAAATTTAACATGGTGGCTTTTTGTGTGCAGTCATTCTCACTGGGTTGAAATAATTGGCTTTTCTATCCTTGAGAACCTGGTTTTATCACAAGTGGCTGCCCAGACTAAAAGCCAGCACCACTAACAAGCAAACACACTCGAGATTAGACTTAGATTGTTTACATTCCTTGTCAATCTACTCCTGAATGAATGCCTCCCATGCCATGTCAGTCACAGAGGGTTGTTTGACCCCAGTTCACCAGTGTCAGGATGACGAAAGAGACCCAAGGCTAGTCCATCCATTACTCGCCAGTGATGTTAATCTTGGCTGGGAATAGACCTGCGTATCACTGCGTTTAAAGAGTGGTGCATTAATCACTGCGTTACCGCCCAATCCTTATATTCCTCAAATTTTTTCTCAAGTCTCCTGTGGTGGGGAGATGTTACGTCTCGATGGGCTCTCACTTGGTTTAAATAATGCTTGAATAATATTTTATATGCAGAAGAACCAATTGTGGTGCACGAGAGTAAGATTCATTTAATAAGAGGTTTTTTGGGTTAGATCATGTAAATATATAAATGCGTCGTTAAACCCACCACCACCCAACACAGCCAACTAGTAAGGGTTGTCACAAACAGAACGTGCCAATTTGTCACAAGTACAGCACATCGGTGTGTTGGAGAGCCAAGCCACAACATTTAGCAGCATCTGGTACTAGGAGGAGAGCATACAAATGGGCACAGACATCAGTACAACACAATTCAGCTGTCTACACTATACAAGATACAGCCATCGGCACAATAAAACTATCATTACCCATGATCTATACACTATTAGATTAACGCTTTCCCAACTCGTCACAATGGAATACACACAGCCATGAATGCAATACAGAATTGGCATTACAGCATTGGCATTACAGCAATTTTCTGGATTGAGGGGGTAAGTTTTAAAATAATGCTTACTAGAAAGCTCTCCTTCTGAGGCCTTGGCATCTTTTGGCATGTGATGTTCCCTTGGCTGCTTCGTGTCCACCCCAGACTGTTTCGTGTCATCTCCAGATTGCTTTGTGTCTACCCCAGACTGTTTGGTCTCTTCCCCAGACTGCTTCGTATCTACCCCAGACTGTTTTGTGTCTACCCCAGACTGCTTCGTGTCTACCCCAGACTGCTTCGTGTCATCTCCAGACTGTTTCGTGTCATCTCCAGACTGTTTCGTGTCTACCCCAGACTGTTTTGTCTCTTCCCCAGACTGCTTCGTATCTACCCCAGACTGCTTCGTGTCTACCCCAGACTGCTTCGTGTCTACCCCAGACTGCTTCGTGTCTACCCCAGACTGCTTCGTGTCTACCCCAGACTGCTTCGTGTCTACCTCTGGCTGCTTCGTGTCTACCCCAGACTGCTTCGTGTCTACCCCAGACTGCTTCGTGTCTACCCCAGACTGCTTCGTGTCTACCTCAAACTGTTTTGTGTCTACCCCAGGCTGCTTTGTGTCTACCCCAGACTGTTTCGTGTCTACCCCAGACTGTTTTGTGTCTACCCCAGGCTGCTTCGTGTCTACCACAAACTGCTTCGTGTCTACCCCAGACTGCTTCGTGTCTACCCCAGACTGCTTCGTGTCTACCTCAGACTGTTTTGTGTCTACCCCAGGCTGCTTCGTGTCTACCTCAGACTGTTTTGTGTCTACCCCAGACTGTTTTGTGTCTACCCCAGGCTGCTTCGTGTCTACCACAAACTGCTTCGTGTCTACCCCAGACTGTTTTGTGTCTACCCCAGGCTGCTTCGTGTCTACCACAAACTGATTCGTCTCTACCTCTGGCTGCTTCGTGTCTACCCCAGACTGCTTTGTGTCTTGCCCTGACTGCTTCGTGTCTACCCCAGGCTGCTTCGTGTCTACCCCAGACTGCTTCGTGTCTACCCCAGACTGCTTTGTGTCTTGCCCTGACTGCTTCGTGTCCACCCCAGGCTGCTTCGTGTCTACCTCTGGCTGCTTTGTGTCTACCCCAGGCTGCTTCGTGTCTACCCCAGACTGCTTCGTCTCTTCCCCAGGCTGCTTTGTGTCTTGCCCTGACTGCTTCGTGTCTATGCCAGGCTGCTTCGTGTCTACGCCAGACTGCTTCGTGTCTACCCCAGACTGCTTTGTCTCTACCCTAGACTGCTTTGTCTCTACCCCAGATTGCTTCGTGTCTACCCCAGACTTCTCTGTGTCTACCCCAGGCTGCCTCGTGTCTACCTCAGACTGTTTTGTGTCTACCCCAGACTGCTTCGTCTCTTCCCCTGGCTGCTTCGCGTCTTCCTCTGCCTGCTTTGTGTCTTCCTCTGGCTGCTTTGTGTCTACCCCAGACTGCTTCGTCTCTTCCCCTGGCTGTTTCGCATCTTCCTCCGACTGCTTCGTATCTTCCGCTGCCTGCTTTGTGTCTTGGTCTGGTGGCTTAGTGTCTTCCTGTGGCTGCTTCGTGTCTTCTTCTGGCTGTTTCATGTCTTTCTTGGCTGTCGGCTCCTCTTCACCCTGCTCAGATCCTAGGAGTTGGAAGATAGTTGTTAGTTTGTGGTATGGCCCCTCACTTCTGCTACAGCAGAGGATACAGACTAATATCTTCCTAATAGCCTTTAAATACACTGTCTAGGCAAGTGATGTTAGCAAGCACTTATGAAGGCCAGGGCAGCACATGAGGGGATGGGTGGCCAACACCACGCCCGGCCACCTTTGTCTCCCCAAGTCTGATGTTTAGACACTGCACCTGGTACTCAATTAAGGTGGAGTCAAAATCTTGGGTAGGATCAGGACCGGTTCAAATATTCACCACTATTATTGGTCATGAGCTAAAATTAAACTTGGGTCGTCAGGTTTGGAGCGCAGTCAACTAACCACCACACTACCGCTCCCCAGCGGATGGGCACAGCAAGACTCCCATAGAGTACAGCGAGACACCCACATCATCAGCAGTGAATGAAATTGGTCAGGCATGGCAACACACCTGCAGTCCAGCATTGTGGAAGCAAGGGAGCATGGATATTAAAAATTGAGACGAGGGTGTAAATGAGGATCTGTTGTGTGGTTAGGGTGTTCTGGGAGTTAAGGCCTTTGTCAAGTGATATGAGAAGACTTCGGAAGGTGTTAACACTGTGACATTTCATAGGCACAGTCCAGTGCATTTGTAAATGTCTCACACTCACCAGGTACCTTCCCCTCTGAGGTCCGTGCATCTTCAGGCCTAAGGGCTTCCTCTGCCTGCCTCTTGGCTTCTTCACCTACCTTCTCTTCAACCTGTTCAGAGACACGGACTGGGGCTGGAACGGAAGACACCGGGGTGATGAATGAGGCCATTTCTAGTGTTAAAGTTTGAGACGAACATTACAGCACGGTGGCCAGTCAAAAAGTGAGCCGAACAGTCACATACAATGCTGTGGGTGCATTATCGTCGCATTTCAGCTGTGTTTTTAGCAGTTTTACTGTTATTATTCACAAGAATTTGTGATCATCAAAATACATCGTAATGGGACACGGGTTTTGTATGGGATGGGATAAGTGTGCTTTATGAATTACGTATTGGATTTTCATTTGGATGAGGAAAAAGTTCTGTGTTTCAAGGGTCACCGCAACAGTATTTATCAAGGGTTGAAGTGCAGAAGTCACTTAGACTGCAAACAGCATCCTTGGCAGGAAAACTAATGTCAGCAATTTTGTTTTAATTCTCCCAACTATATTTTAATAATGCTATTGGTGTCTTCACACAAATTCCTATACGGAACTCTCCCAGTGAGCACACAACCACCGGTCCTGGAAGATGACATTACACAGAACCGCTCCTAAAATCACTTCAATACAATTCTCGAAATGTTATGCATATGGCTCAAATAAAACTATTGGTGGCATGTAAATTCTCAGAAATGGAATGAAACAATTATTTTTAATTGAATTCAATAAAACAAGAGACTCATTGCAGGAGCAGCACAACTGTTGGACTCAAACCCGTTCTCTCACCAGGAGGCTCCTGCTCAGAGGTCTGGCTGCTGCCCGGTGTCAGAGTTTCCTCGATCTGGCTCTTGGTTTCGTCGGGTGCCAGCTTCTCTTCACCCTGCTTCGGGCAGATGTCAACACCTGGGAGTTGAACGACCACAAGAATGTGCACCGTTAGTAATGGCAGAGTTTGTGAGATTCGAAGTCTCCACACTTGAAAAATGCATTTGATCATCACAGGTGACTCTGGGATTGAGCCCAATGCTGGCTCAGTGCCTCTAGACATGCTCATTGGCTCTCTGAGCCATCTTGCCACTAACTTTCAATCAAATTATGTCCTTTATCTGACAGAGCTTGTATACAACACATTTACAAAACAATTCCTGGTTGGGTATGCAAGAGACTGACTGAAATGTATCTGTTGTGATCCACATGTAATAGATCAACAGATCAGCGAACATTGGGGATTAGTGCCCATGAATTGGTTTAGTTTTTTATTTTACCAGGTAAGGCCCACCGATCGAAAAAGGTCTTGTTCAGAAGCGACCTGGCCACAAATGATAGCTCAACGAAGTGGCTTATCACATTGAAATGTATAGCGGCCAAATACTCTCTGGTCGAGTCTTCAGACAATACACTGACATATCGGCATCGTGGACGTGCGCACTGAATGCGTGACCCTTCACAAACATCACTCACTTGCGTCTTTTCGTACTCTGGACCGGGTGACCCTGGATGTTGGTGCCACCATCTCCACCCGGGCTTTCTTGGCTGCTGGACTGCGACTGCCCTGCTCTGATGTCAGCAAAGACATTTGAGATATACGGATATCCAGATCAGTCTCCACAAAACTTTAAAATCTCATAGCTTAAAATAATTGCATTTACTCAGGAAACGAGTCACAAAAATACTCGAGAATGGTCCGGCATCGGTAAGTTTGGACAATTATTTTTTATGTTTTGTATGTGGGAGGAAACTAGAGCACCCAGAGAAAAAACAGTAGGACAGGATGATGCTCAGAGGGTCACACGGATGGATTTACAAGCCACTTGATAGCCCCCTTGCGGCCAAGTGGATTTGGAAGTTGAACAAATCTACACAATCCATCAAGCATTGCCTTTAAAGTGCTGGATCACAGTACCAGCGTTACACCAACCTACAGGATAGCACTACTCCATGCAAACGTGCAGCATCATCAATAACCTGGAGTTAAAAGTTTCATCATGTTCACCAAATGATGGACATTTTTTTAAGGGAAACTCTAAAATCAATTCGAGGCTTTAGTTCATGAAAATGTCAAGAACATTTGACTTTTTTAACCATTCAACAACGTTTTCTGTTCACTTGGACAAGTGTGGGGCTAGGGACAGCATTCAGTCATGGTTATAGAATTCATCAGTGTCACATAACCATTTGCAAACAACACCCTATACAGTAGTGTCATTTGGAAAACATTGCTCAAAGAGGCCATCCTCCCGATATGCCGAACTAATAAAAATGTGATGGTTGCAGCTCTGACTGTGCAGTGGATGGGGCAGCAGTCGACCACAACTGTGCAATAGCCTCGAATGTTCTGGGCTCGTGTGTGATCTGGCATTGTTGCGCTGCCGAGGAGGGTGTTTGCCATGTGAATGTCTGGGCGTATTCACTGAATATGGACTCCGAATTTCATCAGCATCGAAAAAACACGTTAGGCATTTAAAAAATATATATATATATACTGCATATTGAGAAACATATTTTCGTATCCTTAGAAAACTTTGTAAGCAGACCAAATGCTATGCCATGAGAGCCACAAAAGGGATAATAAAAATTCCGTCACACAAACCAACCCGAACAATATCCAGTTAAGTGATTTTTTTAAAATAAGCAGACTAATTACACGTTATCAGCTTCATAAAGCATTCCATATATGATTGCCAAATAGTGATTAATCTGTGAGGTTACATTTAAGATAGCGAGGATAAACGTAAACCGCAGGACGCAATGCCATTCCATGCAGCTTGAGACAGAAGGGAACTTCAAGACACACCCTTACCCCTTAACGGCACACTTAGAGTCGCGCTTCGTTGGCGTCCAGCACGGCGCCGGCCCCTCTTGCCCCCTCTACATCCCGGCTGTTTCTCCACTTCCTCCTCCTCATCCCTCGTCGCTCCGCAAGGAACCTCTTCCTTGATGGTAGATGGCGCCGCCATTGCGTCTCCCTGCTCGCCAGCTTGCTCGTCTGGCGTGGCTGGGTTGGATTCCACCGTGACACACACACTCGCTGTTCCCTCCATCTCTGTCGGTGCCTCGTCCTTTGCTGCCTTATGCTTTCCTTCTTCCTCCTGCCTCCCCTCCTTCTCCTTGGCTTCCCCTGCTGAAGACGGTGCACAGGCATTGTTAAGAGCAGTGTAGCAGGTCTATAATGCACTGATGGTTGCTAAATTGAAGTGAGACTGGTACACTGTTGACATTTACAGCAGCACTCATGATCACAAAACCTGGTTAAATTATCACCTTTTTCCCACCAGTGGAGATGTTTACTACACACTGCACCAGGTGCTCATTTGAGGCTGAGTTGACCGAGGTAAGACCCAGAACCAGTTCAGATAATCACTGGTGTTGACCTTGAGCGGGAATCGAACCTAGGTCGCCAGGTTCGTAGTGCAGAGCGCTAACCGCTGCACTATTGCTCCCCTATAATGTAAACACAAACGCCATGACACATCATTCATTTTTTTCAAATGTGAAATTCGACAAACATCAATTATTTTCCATTCTCACAACAATCTCAACCAGAGGATTTATGCCAGTTAACGATATCCATTTTGGGGAAGAGAGTAGAACAATTAAACTTCCAGAATAAACACCTCACTACAGACGTAAACATCTTCGCGTCTCCTGGCGTAGATACTCCTCGAAGATGGCGGTGTAATCAACCGCATCAGAACATCAACAGGCCGATGCCCATATCTCCTTCATGAATGGAAATTTCAAGACAAGCCACAGTATGACTATGGCCATGCAACCCAAATTGCGGAGCATACAAGTAGACCACTGTAGTCTGCGCTTCTTCAATGGAATAGCAAAATTATACCAACTCTCTCTTGATATTCTAAACTATTTAGGTCACTTACAGAGTCAAACATAGTGGGGTCGGGAAAAAAGCTCTCCATCAACAACATGCTCCACCTGGTGAGAAGGAACCTGAAATAGATCAGGCGATTCTGATACAATAATCATGCTCCTCCTACTGTCATTATACAATCTGTTGCTGCGCTGTCAAGCATGCCACTGCTATTACTAGTGTAATGAGCCAAGAATGTCTGTGTGTAATGCGCGTGACGTCACTCCACATGCCGCACCCCCCCGATCATTAATATTCACGAACGGGTGGATTTTTACACTCACGCAAGAAGGTCGAGCGGAAATATTTTTATCCGCAAATTCACTATAAGTTTGACGTTTATATATTGAAAGTGAATCTAACAAATAATTCTACGCAGCAACAAAGTGGATTTGGTGTCTTTATTTCTTCAAGCACTTGAGACGAAAGGTAAGTCTAATTTATGCTTCTACATTATAGTAACAGACATTTCTCGGTGATTTTCCAGATATTGTATCGAATTCAAATTTATTTCAACCCCAGTGACTGAAAGCAGAAGAATAAAGTATCACAGCAGTGAATTTGAACAAATTAAAGGTCAATTATATAGTGTTACAGCGACATGATTTGGGTTTTCTGACGTAGTTTTGTGCAAGAAACACTGCCAATAATAGTGCTACAGTGAATTGCAGTGAATTGTTTTAGGACTTCGTTTTGTGGCAGATTCACTGCCATTAATAGTGCTACAATGAAATGCAGTGAAGTTTGATGACATACTTTTGTGCAAGATTCACTGCCATTAAATTTACACATGACACAATTATACTCTGCTCAATTTTTACATAAACATTACAGCTTCCATCCTAGGACTGGGCAAAGAAGCTAGTATATTCATAACATAATTCATCTGCTGCTATACAAAAGCCACCTAGTCTACAGCAAGTGATGTGTATCGTAACAAACTGCAAGCATGACGTGTACTCACTTCCCACTCCTAATTCGTTGTATGCATGTGGCCTATGGAGACTGGGTAAAAAGAGGGCTACTCTTAAGCAACAAATGGTGATGACATCACACATACAGTGATACCAAAATAAAGTGTAAAAGTTAAAATGTCAGGATGGGGATAAAAATCGAACTCTACCACCTCTGGACATCTTGGTTGAAAGTCCCCATTTCTTGGGAATCATCCCAAAGGAAACGCTTCGGACCCTCACCTCTTGTAGAGGACGGCTGCCTTCCCGCCATCACTCCGCTTGGTGTTGCCTCGTCTTCTGTCAATGAAGTCACCGTTGTGGCTCTCTCGTCACCAGCCCGCGTGTTTTCTGGGTCTGCATCATTGCTGCTTTGTGGCCGGACAGAACCCCCTTCCGGCTCCACCATAACCTCAATTTTACCTTCGTGCATTTCCAGTTCCACATTGCCAGCTGCTGTCTTTTCTTCTGTCATCTGCACCAGTGTCGTCATCTTGTCTTGCTCCTGGTCCTTCGTTCCAGTCACGCATTTCTCTACCTGTTTCCTCGCTGAATTTCCCTTTCCATGCCAATTCTTTTCCATGAGCAGAGGAGCACCTTCTTGATCTTGTTGTAGCACTTCATCCTCTTTTACCTCGTCCAGGGTTACCATGTTCTCCATGCTCAGGGGAAACCAGGTCTTCTCCGTGTTCTCAGGAGTCATTCCACCAACACCGCTGATCTGTTGCCCAAAAAATTATGTTTTTGGAAAAGAGATCTAGATTCATTGCCATACTGTGTTATGGTTCCATCAAGCAGTCACCTGATGCACAAATTGCGCATCAAAGATTCGGCGGCCACAAATCCCAAATCATCAAGCACATTGTAAACACGCGCCTGCTGCTGCTGCTGTCTTTACTCCTTTAGAGGAGGAATGGATGAGATCCACTCTTCTTCTGAACAGCAATTGAGTGGATAACAAATAATAAATTACATATTTAATCTGCTATTAATACATACGAAAGAAACTATCAGTGATTTACTTAGGGTTTCGTACGTTATAAAATCAAGAATAATTGTTTTGTCTGCTATACAAAATATTGTCATATAGCGATTGTTACTCAGTTAACTTAACAAAAAAATATTCTTGAAAACATATGAAATAATAATTAAAGTTCATAATAATTAATGGAATAAATAAGCTTTTACTAATTCGTGTTGAAATACATTTTCCAGATAAAATTGGCAGCAGAGTGCTTTTCCTCATTTTCTGACAGCATGCGTGATTTAAGCATGGTGGGGGTGTCCGTGATGGTGCTGGTGGCAATGGTATTGTTGGTGGTGCTAGCAGTATACACTAACATATTACCCCTTATGTGGCAGCGTACATTGTTCGCACATGACATTTCCATAAAAAAACTTTACAAATCTTCATAGATATAAAAAATGTTTAGAATTAGAACTATTTTATAGCTAGTCACAAGATTAGAGCATGTAGGACCTTGATAAATGTAATAATCGAACATAACCTATTCTTAAACGTACAGCTCGAGGGATGTTTAATGAGCCCAAGAATGTTTGATTTGATTACTGCTAACATGAAGTTAACAAGGATGGTGGTGCCGAGTGGTAGTGTTGTCGGTGGTGATGCTAGTGGTGGCAAATGTATCGGTGGTGCTGGTGGTGCTCGAGGAATACACGAAAAATCACCTCTTCTGTGGCATCACATATTGCTGGAGTCTCTTCTCTCTCACGGAGGTTACTCTTGGATGTCTGCTCGCTCAAATCCCCTGCATCACTCTTGGTATCTGAATCCTGCTTCACGTCTGTGTCTTTCTTTGTACTTGAGTCCCTCTGATCATCTACACTTCTTGTATCCGATACTTTATTTGTGTCATCATTTTTCTCTGCACACGAATCTCTCTTATCATCTTCATTTCTTGAATCTGAGCCTTTCTTTGTGTGCATGTATTTTTTTGTATCGGAATCCCTCTTATCCGTACGTCTGGAATCCGAGGCTCTCTTGGTGTCAGAATCTTTCTCTGTACGGGAACGCATCCTATCATCCGTACTTCTTCTATCTGATGCTTTCTGGGTGTCAGCAGCTTTCTCCGCAAATGAATTCATCTTTGCATCCGTACTTCTTGTATTTGAGATTTTCCTGGTTTCACCGTATCTATTTGTACCGGAATCCATCTTATCATCCGTACTACGTCTTGTATCTGAGACTTTCTTCGTGTCAGTATCTTTCTTTCCATATACATCCCATCTACTAGCTGCTATTCTTGAATCTGAGCCTTTCCTGGTGTTCATGTATTTTTTTGTATCCCAATACCTCTTATATACACTTCTTGTATCCGAGACTTTCCTGATGTCAGCATCTTTCTTTGTATCTGAACCCTGACTATCATCTGTACCTTTTGTATCTGAGACTTTCTGGGTGTCGGCATCTTTGTCTATACCAGAATGCATCTTATCATCCGTACGTCTTGTATCCGAGACTTTATTTGCGTCAGTATCTTTCTTTGTATCCAAATCCCTTCTATATGTACTTCTGGAATCCGAGGCTTTCCTGGTGTCAGCATCTTTCTCTGTACCAGAACGCATCTTATCATCCGTACGTCTTGTATCCGAGACTTTATTTGCGTCAGTATGTTTTTTTGTATACGAATCCCTCCTACCATCTACGCTTTTTGAATTAGAGCCTCTCTCGGTGTGCATGTATTTTTTTGTATCGGAATCCCTCTTATCTACACTTCTTGTATCCAAGACTTTCTTTGTGTCTATTTTTGTCTTTGAGTCTCCCTCAATGATTCTGCCTCTCCTCTTATCCAGGTCTTTTATGGCACCTGGGCCTCCCTTTGTATAAAGGTCCCTATTGCTAACTGCATCTCGCTTTGCATCTCTCTCCGATTCTTTGAAGTTTTCTGTCCTGGAGAACTGCAGTGGGGAAATAAAACAAATAATTTAGGACCATAAAACGGCCTGTATGTACATTCACTTAATTATTCATTTGCCAAAGGAAACTTAACAAATGTGGCAGTCAAGCAGAACTGTTTGGGATGGTTCTACTGAAACTCTTAGGACACTTCAATGCCTTGTTCAGTTTGGTCAAAGGTCTTTAACGCTAAATATGAACAATTTTAGATAGAGGCATTCCTCGACTTATGAACACTCCAACTTACGAACTTGGTTCCATGAGATTTTTTTACATCAACTTGTGAAAGTGAACTCGCACTTGGGAACTGAACCACGGAACTATTTTGTTCAGAAGAGCGATCCTCCGCGAGATGTAATGGGTCTCAGCCTCCCTCTGGAAATGAATGTGTGCAGGCTTGCCCCCATGTGCATGTCTGTGTGGGGGGAGCGGTAGTGCAACGGTGAGCGCTTTGCAATTCCAACCAAGTGACCCGACGTAGATTCTCGCTTACGATCAACACTAGTGACAATTAACCAAATAGGTCCTGAACATCCCCTGGTTGACTCAGCCTCAAATGAGTACCTGGTGTGGTGTGTAAACATTGCTAGTGAGAAGTCAAAGGCGGCCAGGCGTGGTGATGGCCAGCCACCCACTGCTCGTATTCCGCCGGCCTTCATAGGCACTGCTTGCTAAGTGCACTCGGACCAACAGTCTGTTAAGGCTACACGGGGGACCGTTGGTTTGTGTGCGAGCGCGTGCCGCCATGTGTGTGTGCAATTGTGGGTGGATCGTATAAGACTGAGCTCACTCCAGGGGTCGACTCGGTGGTGCTGGGACATTATTTTGGTGAGGTGTCTTTGTGCAGCATTTTGGTCCAAAGCAGTAGGCATAAGATTTATCAAAGTGGGTGATCTTTTTACCGAGGGAAGGTAAAAACATTTCAGCAATTGTGGGCACACCATATCCCAGGCTCATATTTATTTTGATTCCATCAGATCTGGGACATCATAACCAAAGTCCCAGATAAAAACCTGGATCTTATTTTCCCCACCCAATTTTAGACTGGTTGGGGGGAAAAGGAAAGATACTAATTGGCAGATGCATTAATGGAGAGAGAATGTGGGTAAGACCCAAAACTAGAAATTTCTGGGAAAGGTTTACGGGACACGACATTCCTCCTAGGAAGTGGACCCAGATATGGCGGGCCCAAGCTACAGACCCCAGGTCACTTTAATCAAAACCCATCCAGTTTAAGTTTATCCACGGGACCTATGTGACAGGACAGCTAAATTAACTAATTCCTCCCCCAAATGCGCTAAGATCCCGACCAGGTACAGTGCAAACAGACTCGCATGCCTTTTGGACATGCCTTGATATCCCTGGATTTTATTAGGATATTATGGACTACTTCAACCGTATTTCTGACATGGTGGTGAACCTTTCAGTTGACTCAACCCTATTGGGGTTAAGACCTAAATGATTAACAAAGTACCAGCACGCTCGACTCCAAACCTTCTACATAGCAGTGAGGAAAACTATTCTCACCGCTTGGGGACTGTGGCATAGAACTCTCCTCTCCCTAGTGGGAATGGAACATCTTAGCTATAAGTTAAAAGGGAAGGAAAGCGAATATAAGGCCATGCGGACCCGTCTTTGCTGAACTCAGCATGAATAACTGTGAAATTGTGGGCCGGAAAGAAGGGATAGGAGAGTTGGGGTGGACTCCGGACACTACGCCAACCTCTCTTCCACATAGTTATCGTTAAAATAAAATGTAACAAAAATAAGGTTGATGTTATTTTAGTTTGGGTCTTGTTTGGTTACATTATTTCCTCTCCTCCCCACATCCCTGCCATTTTCCCCTATTCCTTTTCCTCCCCCTTGAAATACTTTATCTCCGATCGTTTCCCCTGCCATAGAAGGGTGCCGAACCCAGGTACTCTCGTCTGTTCCCTAATCACGAGGGTGTAGTTACTTTCTATATCAGTTGCACATCTGTTACAAGCTGTCTCGCCCTTCCCTGCGATATTGCTACTGTATCCCTTGGCTCTTGGTTGGCATTGTGCTTCCTAGAATTGGGGGGGGGGGGGCGGTGGGGAGTGGGTGAGTGGGGATTTGGCTGTACCACTCTGGAAATGAAAAAAACCTGGTGGGAGGGGGAGGCCCAACTATCGGGTCCAGGAGGGGATCTTTTTGGTCAACTTCCAGTGGTATCCAAAGTGTAGGCACTAGGGCAGGAGTGTCAATTGGACAGCGGGCCAGTTTGGATTGAAATGCACCTCCCGCAGGCCACACAGTTGGGCCTATGAAAATGAATAGCAAAATACGGTATTAATTTACCGATTTAAAATCTGAAAGCGTGGGAAAAGAGAGTTGATTTCTTTTTTTGCGGCTAGGCACACCAAATCCCCAATCTCAATGTACGGTTTAAATTCAGGTTGTGTTTAGGTAGAAGCTTTAAAATATATATATAAAATCATTCATACAAATTTAAGCACGTGGTGGGCCGGAGGAAAGGGTTTGGGGGGGGGCTGGGTCCGGCTCGTGGGTCGTGTGTTTGACACCCCTGCTCAAGGGCGAGACCTGTGAGTCAGGTGGGCGGGTTTCTTATCTAACTCAGAGGACACTATACTCAGGGCGATACAATCATAGAACATATAGCTCTGAAACACGCAACAATGCAACGCCGACATTCTTTACTATTTAAAGTACACTAACCAGGCCCGGTTTCGTCGATGGGGTAATGTGGGGGGGCGGGGTACAAGAAGACCCATCCGACATATCCAAACTATTTCAACCAAGTAATAAACAATTGTAGATCTAACTTCACAGCCATAACCATACACGAACTTTACTTGTCCGATACGGTAACGATGACTGGGGGGGGGAGGCAGTGGTGAAGATGTGGTTGTGAGGATGTAGGGGGCCGGAAGTGTATGTGCAGGGGGGAATTATTGAACATTCATGGCCGTCGGTTAAGCAGTTTTTCAGATGTCTAATAGCGGTGGGCCAGAAAATTATAACAATCAGAAAATTACAACAAATGTGAGACATAGGCTTTAACGTGAGACACAGCTAATCAGCACTCTCGGCTAACCAAAGCATCACCGATATGTGCCGTAATATGCAGAGGAGCATTACCTTGTCCTTAATGGAACTTGAAGTCTCTCTTCTCCCCTTACTGCTGCTCAAGATCTGGGCAGGAGCAGTGACACACAAGGGAACAAATTAAGTACAATTTTCAATGCTATATCTGGGTTGGCGATGTGGTGCACTCATACAAAAGAGGTTTTTTTGGTTAGAGCACGTAAATATGTGTCGTTAAACCCGCCACCACCCGACAGAGCCAACAAGTAAGGGTTGTCACGTAAACAGAACATGTCAATTTGTCACTAGTACAGCACATCGGTGTGTTGGAGAGCCAAGCCACAACATTTACAATCTGAGTACGACGTTTCACCAGTAATTACAACTAACTTCATCAGGCGGCAGCCAGATTTGTGGAGAAGTCCACATGTTTCAGTCTTTATAGAGGCGTAGATGTGGTGACCACACTTCTGCGCTCTTGAGTCAACGTACATTATGCATGCGAATTATGCGAACCCATTGATCTTGTCCTTCCTGTCCATTGTCTATATTAAAATAGCCTTACCAATGGTAATCCCTATTGAAGTATGGCAGCCTATATAGCCATGCATTTAAATGTATTATTTGATGATCCTCTTCCATGCAGCAACTAAGTCGGTAGCTATCCAAAAAGGTTATTATTTTTTTTTCCAATTTCGATAGATTCTCTAATTAATCTTGCCCAGTAGTAGCTAGTTTTGCACAATTTCAACGTTATCAATATCAATTGAGTGTCCTTGTTGGCACGCATGTTCTGCTACTGCGGACAGTTGTATTACGGAGTATTTAATATTTATTTGGTGTTCTTTTAGTCTTGCGCTGATTAATCGTCCTGTTTGCCCAACATAGCATTTGCCACAAGTGCAGTTAATCCGATACACACCTTCCGTTGGTAGCTTCGGTAATACATCTTTTGTACCAGATATTAATTTCTGTATTTTATGTACCGTGCCAAATCTGACTCGGATGTTTTGTTTTTCCAAACATCTGGCTAGTTTATCAGTTACTCCCGCGATGTACGGTATTTTGATCATTTTAATTACTGGGAAGTTTCAATGCTTGATTTGGTTTTAGCATTCAATGTCCTGTTGATGTGTGCATCATTGTAACCATTCATTTGCAGCGCTTCTTTAATATGTTTAATTTAACTTCTCAGACTATCACCATCTTACACTTTTCTTAGCCCGATGAATGAGCGTCTTGATAAGAGCACATTTCTGTGCGGGGTGATGGTGTGACTGCATTCAGATAGGCATCAGTGTTTCGATAAACGCTGTTATTTTACCATTGTGACCCCGTCCGAGCAGAATACCCAGAAATGGTAGAGTTCTGTCAGCTTCCACTTCAGTGGTGAACTGGATGGATGGGTTTTGCGAGTTGAGATTTAGAAATTCGTTAAATGTATCTTTGGCGTGTGGCCAGACCACAAATGTGTCATCCACATATCTAAACCAAGCAGAGGGTTTTAGTGTACTTGAAGCTATTGCTTGTTTCAAAATCTGCCACATACAAATGTGCTATCACAGGAGACAAAGGAGAACCCATTGCTGCTCCTTCCTTTTGTTTATAGAACTCACTTTTCCACAAGATATAGTTGTTCGAATTGGCATGTTCTGTTTACATGACAACCCTTACTAGTTGGCTGTGTTGGGAGGTGGCAGGTTTAACGACACATTCATATATTTACGCCATCTAAACTAAAAAAAACCTCAATTATGGATGATATTGGCCACGAAGTGTTACAATGTGGTGCACTGAAAATTAACACAGCAGACACATGACAAATCTAATCTCCATTTCTTGATTTGAAGCTTTCGTGACTGCAGGAATCCATACTCTTCAGTTCTTTCGGTAAAGTCACGCAGGTAGAAATAAACTAAAATAAATCACGACGTTTCGGAGGCAACACAAGCCCCCGTCATGAGGTGAGAACTGGCGAGACAACCGTTTAAGCAAGGGTTGACATACGTTTGAGAAGGAGCTTGTATACGTTTGAGAAGGTTTAGCAAGTCAAAGAGAATAGATGTAAAAGGAGCTCAGGAACGAGCTTAGGGGAATAGATTCCTAGCAAGTTGGATTATAGTGCAAAGTTAATGAGCTTCCGTCATCGCATAAGAAAGGAGAATATGTAGAAAGGGCTTAGGGAAATAAGTTATTAGCATGTTGGAATTATAGTGCAAAGTTAATGAGCTTCCGTCAACGACTAAGAAAGGCTCGTAAGAGAGAACGAGCTTAGGGAAAGAGAGTCGCATGTTAACGTTGATGAACTAGGGTGAAGTCACGCCGGTAGACTGAACAAAGGCGGCCGAGTTGTTTACTGCGCTGTGGGGGAAGCAGAAGCAGCTGAGTATCTGCTGGAGCAAGTGCCGTCTGCTGGGCTGTGAGGGGATCACAGCAAGTTCGGACCAACCTGGTTAATGACATCCTTCCAGTGGTTGTTCAGCTTATACCCATCTTCTCGGTTGAAGTTGTCTCTATGTTTATATATCTGGATAGCTTCATGGACAAATCTTTGATGTAGGCCCGAAGGTTTGCTGAGTACCTTGTTCTCGGAAAAAACGATATCGTGCGAGCCCACCTGATCAGCCACGGCAGAGGTATTGGTTGTGCCGTGTTTCAAATCTGCCTTGTGTTCGTGAACCCGGTCCGAGACATGTCGTTTCGTTTCCCCAATGTAACTGCGACCGCAGGTACAACTCAGTTTGTAGACTCCAGGGTATTGCATGTCAAGAATGACCTCCTTCACAGCTGGGATCAGATCACAGATTTTGTGTACTGTATTGAATCGGACCTGGATCTTGTGTTTGTTTAAGATTTTGGAAATCTTTTTGGTAACAACTGCTATGTATGGTAAAGTGATGGTTTTGTCACGCTTTAGATAGGAATCTGTGTGGATAGCTTTCCTGTAGACAGAATGTCCCAACGAGCCATGACTGAATTTCACACCAACATACGTTTTTCGCAAATTGCTTTGCGCTTCATCAGAAATTGATTGGGCTGCATCAGCTGACTGTACTTTAAATACCCACCATGAGAATGGTCTTGCACCTGAATGTGTATATGAACATGGGGTCGGCAGAATAGATGGTCGGGGGAGGAGGCAGATATGAGGTGACCGCCATTCAGTGGATGACTGACTTTTTAAACAAAAGGCATTCGTTTCTGGAGCACAGATCATGTGAAAATGAGTTGCATTAGTTTAGAGCAGATAGTTAGATGGGAGCAAGCCTATAGAGAATCTTGAAGATAGCGGGATAAATCTCGTCGTTGTTTCGGGATTTAATTGGGAGCCTGCGGGGGTCTCCGAGGACTGGGGTAAGTCGTGTAGTTTGTGAGAACGGATGAGAAGTCTGATGACAGTATTTACAATCTTTACAAGTTTGGAAGCAATGGATTTGGGAAGGCCATAGGAGAGTTGGAGAAGTCGAGATGTGATGAAAGCTAGGATAAGGAACTGAGCTGCAGATAGGGAACTGCTTTTTGTGTTTAGTGTATTGTCCTTCCCCCGCACTTCCGATTAGCTATGTACAGTGTGAGAGAAGTTCAACATACATGTGGAAGACATTGTGTAGGAGGTAGGACATATTAGAGGAAAGTTGGAAGGGGAATAAGCTTAAGATCACTTGTGATTCCTGAATTATGTAGTCTTTCAAATGTGATATCAGCATTGAGGTGGCATGTTTTAACAGGAATATTTACACGGTTTTGCTGATGAGTATGGCCTCAAATAGAGGGAGCTCGAGACAGCATTGTCGACTCTTTAATGCTGACCACACGTGTTAGGTCAGGTGGGAGTACTCACACTTTACCGTACCGCATGCAATCTATCGATCGAATAGTTGTGGTGTTCCCCATTTATACTGTTGGGTAACGGAGCCAGGGGGATATTAAGAAACTGGGCCAATCGTTTCAAGTGTTGCGCCAGAAGTTCGAATAGAACCGGCGGACCTCTGGATTGCTGCTCATTGTGCTAACCATTACACCACCAGAGCTTGTAGTTGATTTTAATCATACGTTATAACATGCACATCCATTACCTTTTCACAGCTCCTCTCCCGGCTTATACTTCTTGTGGAGCCCACAGTCATCTCTCTGCTCCTGTTGGAGCTTCTTGACCTCTTCATATCTCTACTTTTGTTTAAGCCCTGCTGTGTCTCCTTGCTCCGGCTACGGCTCCGGCTACTGCTCCGGCTACTGCTCCGGCTCCTGCTCCGGCCACTGGGTTGCTCCCTGCTCCTGTTCCAGCCACCACGTCGCTCCTCGCTACTGCTCCTTTTCCAGCCACTGGGATGCTCCCTGCTAGTGCTCCTGCGCAGGTCCTGTTTTCTCCTGAAAAACAATAGCCGTTTTATTGTGAAGTACATGAATAGCAGCTGGAAATGAAGCTGGTGACATGTTTGAGGCTATCAGGATGTTTTGATTGCAGAAAAGAGATTGTCATCATTATCTGAAATTTTCTCACCAGTGGAGTAGAATTAAGTATACAGAACCTGTTCAACTGTCATGTGCTAAGAAGGGCCATTGCCCAAAAATCGCCTATTATATATTTTTTTCCTTCCAGTTTGGGCGGTGTTATTTACTAACGCGTTGAATTTATGTTGAACTATGGCGCACCTCGATGGGTTCTGCGCTCACTTAAGTCCACTGTGATGATGGGTACATTTTAGGCTGATGAGGGCTACCATTTTTTTGCTGTAGTCCAAACACCAAATAAAAAATCATGTTTAGTTTATATAAAGTTGTTCATGTAAACTGTACAACACACTACAAATGCATGAAGAATAACGGCCAATAGGGTGGTGGTGCTCGTCTCCGATGATGGCCCTGAACAGTTGTGGAAATTCATTTTTTTCCCATGGCAGGGGCCAAAGGGTAATTTCATATACTTACAGGGCATTGCGGCACTCCTGAACAAACCTTGAAAGAAACAAAGACACGAGGCATATCATAAGTTCAGGCACTGTTTCCTATGTGACTGGCAATATTGACATTCATTCCTTTCGTAATACAAAGCAGGAGAGACGTGATGCAGCAGTTGACACACTGTGCTATGAAATTGACGACATGAGATCAACTCCTGGCCCTGCCTAAAATTTCTGGCGAGTGATATATGAATAAGTCCTATGCACCCCCCACCCCTCCATCAACCTGCACTAACCGGCACAATAAAACAATACCCCATGACCAATATGGCACGGGAAGGCCTTCATCCAGCAGTGGAATGAAAAAGGGCTGTACATAACACAGAATGCCCAACCAGTTGTCTTATCTGACCTCTCAAAACTCCACGTGCATCTCACGACAGCGGTGTTAAAGTAATCGGCGTGGGTTTTCAGCAGCCAGCCCACGCCGTAACTCGGCATCGTGAAAAGTAGATGCTTTTAGATGGCATTTGTAACACAATGTATTTCAAACTAAAGCAAAATATTACAAGACTTAAGGTATGCAGATCACCGTGTTTGACATAAATGTTTGGCCAATACAAAGAGTGCATGCACTCATCATCAACTTAATTTCACCAGTTGCAAAAGCCCATGTAGACTAAATGTCTCATTCTCAAGTAAGTTTGAGGTCACAAACGACCATCCCATATTTCATTTATGCAACGACTAAATGCAACCGCCATCTTGAGATGAAATGTCACAAAACATCAACAATGGTATAACTAAAATATACATTAACTTTCAATAAGATGTATTTCGGATATATGCATGCAGAAAAGTTCAAAAACACATTTGGAGTGACCACTCACCGATTTGAAAACAAAAACGAGTTATATCTGTGTCGTTCTGAATCCTTGTGAGTTTTCAATTCCTGTTGAGGGGAAGATGGGGAGGATAATAACGAATCGAATGCGTTTTAATAGTTCACAAAGACGAGGCATGAAGGGTGTTCTGATATTAGTCCTTTCATGAATCTGATTTACAATGTGGCCCATTACTAATCACAGATTAACCTCTCAAGAGGCCAACTGCACCCACAACAGTGGTGTGAATCTGTCTTCTGTTGATTATCAAAGCCCAAGTAGTCTTGCTTTGGATGTTCGAAAATTTTGTTGGGTGCATTGACAAATTGCCGGTAGAAAACCTACATGCTGGAGCTTACATTATTCAAACTCTGCTCTACATATAGCCTGCTAGCTTTACTACCCGGCTTCGCCCGGGACTTGGATTCTTGTCTTGGATTAATACATGGCCAACGCGGAGGGTGAGGGGGTTGCGTGACATCAGCAGACACACTGCATAATGCTTCCGCATGCGATGTCACCGCTCACTTGTCGTGCAAAATATATCCATTATTGCGCTCCCCCCCCCCCACCAAAATTTATACTTTTTGCATTGTGTAGTCTGGAAGCTACCCACGTGCCAAAATCAAGTTTGTTGCATGTCGGGAAGTATGCTAAACATTTCGAACAGACACACATATTAATACATTTCCTTTTAATATATAACGAGGGGGTGGGTGACAGCACCACGCCCGGCCGCCTTTGTCCGCCCAGTGGCGATATTCCCAGCACACGAGTTACTCCTTTGAGGCTGAGTCGACCTAGGGGAGGCCCAGGACCGGTTAAAATAATCGTCACCGGTGGTGGCCGTGTGCGGGAATGGAACTCGGGTAGCCGGGTTCGTAGCGCAGCGCGCTAACCACTACACTACAATATGTTACGCTTCCACATGCGTGGGTCATATGACAGATTTGACGTCACAGCTCACTTGCTGTGCAAACAAAATATGCATTATTGAGCTCCCCCCCCAAAAAAACGTGTATACCCACATGGCAAATTTCAAGTTTGTTGCATGTCGGGAAGTACACTAAACATTTTGAACAGACACATATTCACAAATTTCCCTTTTATATATATGGAGATAATGAAAAGCCTACTTGGTGCCCTGCCAGGCACCTCGCTGCATCTCTTCCTCATGATGATCCCATCTCAATGCTCAACCACACCTGTGTAAGGACAGTACAGGGCCTAAGGGCCGCAAATAAGGATTGTAGCGATGATGGCAGGCAGGGTCAAGTGAGGTAACTGGGTGAGGAGTCACCGCGGGGGGAGGTGTGGAACCCACGAGGTGTTAGCGAGGCGAAGGAGATCTCCGATAGGAGAGAGTTCAGGAAAAGGGGTGTGGCGGAGCCGAGGTGAGATAAAAGGCAGCGCGGAGTGAGGCTCGAGGCTGCCGTGGGGGAGTCCGGACCGTCGTCACCGTCATCGCTGTGGATCGACCTCATCGTCTTGGAAGACTAGCGAAGGGAGTTATATATTTACGCCGTAGCTACTACGCCAACGGCTCTTACAGTCAGCTATGTAGCGAGTGTCGTGTAGCAGATACATAGAAGTCACCCAGTTGTAAATTAGTCAACCTGCGTCCAGTCGGGTGGAATGTATTTTAATTATATTAACTTATGACAGCGTCTCTGAGTGCTACATTACACCTGCATGGGTGGGAATGTTCTATCTCACCTGATCGCTGGTTAGTCCCAGGTCGCAAATGCTGCAGTGCTTCTCTTTTCCGTTGACGAAATTTCCCAAGTAGCAATGTATCTCCGCCCTCAGCGGGAAGCTTCTTGTCATGAATTTTGTTTCACAGGCAACAGGAGGGGTCTTCAGCAGAAGCGGAGGAGGGGTCTTCAGCAGAAGCGGAGGGGTCTTCAGCAGAGCTTTGCCACACGCAACTTTGGGCCACGAGCAGTTTTTAGGAGGCATGGTGGATGTTGCCGAGGTAACTCCCGGTTTCCAGGGTTCCTGAAATGAGTTACACGGAGCCTTGTCTGGGGGCTTATTCGTGCTCTGGAATGGCGGTTGTCCCTCTGGGCCCTGTCCCATTGGATGCTGCTGCTGCAAGTTGTGAGAAGTAGGCTGAAGCTGCTGTTGTGAGTGGTGAGGCATAATGCTAGGCTGCTGCTGATTTTGCAAGCTCGGAGGCATCGAGGGAAAGTAAGATTGCTGCCGTTGCAAGCTCTGAGGCATGGGGGGAGGGTAATGATGCTGCTGTTGCACGCTTGGAGGCATGGGGAGGTGATGCTGCAAGCTCTGAGGCATGGGGGGAGGGTGATTATGCTGCTGTTGCAAGCTCTGAGGCATGGAGGGTGGGTGATGCTGCTGTTGCAAGCTCTGATGCATGGGGATAGGGTGATGCTGCTGTTGCAAGCTCTGATGCATGGGGGGAGGGTGATTATGCTGCTGTTGCAAGCTCTGAGGCATGGGGGGAGGGTGATTATGCTGCTGTTGCAAGCTCTGAGACATGGGGGGAGGGTGGTGATGCTGCTGTTGCAAGCTCTGAGGCATGGGGGGAGGGTGATTATGCTGCTGTTGCAAGCTCTGAGGCATGGGGGGAGGGTGATTATGCTGCTGTTGCAAGCTCTGAGGCATGGGGGGAGGGTGATTATGCTGCTGTTGCAAGCTCTGAGGCATGGGGGGAGGGTGATTATGCTGCTGTTGCAAGCTCTGAGGACTGGGGGGAGGGTGATTATGCTGCTGTTGCAAGCTCTGAGGACTGGGGGGAGGGTGATTATGCTGCTGTTGCAAGCTCTGAGGACTGGGGGGAGGGGGATAATGCTGCTGATGTTGCTGCTGCTGCCCAGGTAGCACTAATTCAACACGCAACAATGCAACGCCGACATTCTTTACTATTTAAAGTACACTAACCAGGCCCGGTTTCGTCGATGGGGTAATGTGGGGGGGCGGGGTACAAGAAGACCCGTCCGACATATCCAAACTATTTCAACCAAGTAATAAACAATTGTAGATCTAACTTCACAGCCATAACCATACACGAACTTTACTTGTCCGATACGGTAACGATGACTGGGGGGGGGAGGCAGTGGTGAAGATGTGGTTGTGAGGATGTAGGGGGCCGGAAGTGTATGTGCAGGGGGGAATTATTGAACATTCATGGCCGTCGGTTAAGCAGTTTTTCAGATGTCTAATAGCGGTGGGCCAGAAAATTATAACAATCAGAAAATTACAACAAATGTGAGACATAGGCTTTAACGTGAAACACAGCTAATCAGCACTCTCGGCTAACCAAAGCATCACCGATATGTGCCGTAATATGCAGAGGAGCATTACCTTGTCCTTAATGGAACTTGAAGTCTCTCTTCTCCCCTTACTGCTGCTCAAGATCTGGGCAGGAGCAGTGACACACAAGGGAACAAATTAAGTACAATTTTCAATGCTATATCTGGGTTGGCGATGTGGTGCACTCATACAAAAGAGGTTTTTTTGGTTAGAGCACGTAAATATGTGTCGTTAAACCCGCCACCACCCGACAGAGCCAACAAGTAAGGGTTGTCACGTAAACAGAACATGTCAATTTGTCACTAGTACAGCACATCGGTGTGTTGGAGAGCCAAGCCACAACATTTACAATCTGAGTACGACGTTTCACCAGTAATTACAACTAACTTCATCAGGCGGCAGCCAGATTTGTGGAGAAGTCCACATGTTTCAGTCTTTATAGAGGCGTAGATGTGGTGACCACACTTCTGCGCTCTTGAGTCAACGTACATTATGCATGCGAATTATGCGAACCCATTGATCTTGTCCTTCCTGTCCATTGTCTATATTAAAATAGCCTTACCAATGGTAATCCCTATTGAAGTATGGCAGCCTATATAGCCATGCATTTAAATGTATTATTTGATGATCCTCTTCCATGCAGCAACTAAGTCGGTAGCTATCCAAAAAGGTTATTATTTTTTTTTCCAATTTCGATAGATTCTCTAATTAATCTTGCCCAGTAGTAGCTAGTTTTGCACAATTTCAACGTTATCAATATCAATTGAGTGTCCTTGTTGGCACGCATGTTCTGCTACTGCGGACAGTTGTATTACGGAGTATTTAATATTTATTTGGTGTTCTTTTAGTCTTGCGCTGATTAATCGTCCTGTTTGCCCAACATAGCATTTGCCACAAGTGCAGTTAATCCGATACACACCTTCCGTTGGTAGCTTCGGTAATACATCTTTTGTACCAGATATTAATTTCTGTATTTTATGTACCGTGCCAAATCTGACTCGGATGTTTTGTTTTTCCAAACATCTGGCTAGTTTATCAGTTACTCCCGCGATGTACGGTATTTTGATCATTTTAATTACTGGGAAGTTTCAATGCTTGATTTGGTTTTAGCATTCAATGTCCTGTTGATGTGTGCATCATTGTAACCATTCATTTGCAGCGCTTCTTTAATATGTTTAATTTAACTTCTCAGACTATCACCATCTTACACTTTTCTTAGCCCGATGAATGAGCGTCTTGATAAGAGCACATTTCTGTGCGGGGTGATGGTGTGACTGCATTCAGATAGGCATCAGTGTTTCGATAAACGCTGTTATTTTACCATTGTGACCCCGTCCGAGCAGAATACCCAGAAATGGTAGAGTTCTGTCAGCTTCCACTTCAGTGGTGAACTGGATGGATGGGTTTTGTGAGTTGAGATTTAGAAATTCGTTAAATGTATCTTTGGCGTGTGGCCAGACCACAAATGTGTCATCCACATATCTAAACCAAGCAGAGGGTTTTAGTGTACTTGAAGCTATTGCTTGTTTCAAAATCTGCCACATACAAATGCGCTATCACAGGAGACAAAGGAGAACCCATTGCTGCTACTTCCTTTTGTTTATAGAAGTCACTTTTCCACAAGATATAGTTGTTCGAATTGGCATGTTCTGTTTACATGACAACCCTTACTAGTTGGCTGTGTTGGGAGGTGGCAGGTTTAACGACACATTCATATATTTACGCCATCTAAACTAAAAAAAACCTCGATTATGGATGATATTGGCCACGAAGTGTTACAATGTGGTGCACTGAAAATTAACACAGCAGACACATGACAAATCTAATCTCCATTTCTTGATTTGAAGCTTTCGTGACTGCAGGAATCCATACTCTTCAGTTCTTTCGGTAAAGTCACGCAGGTAGAAATAAACTAAAATAAATCACGACGTTTCGGAGGCAACACAAGCCCCCGTCATGAGGTGAGAACTGGCGAGACAACCGTTTAAGCAAGGGTTGACATACGTTTGAGAAGGAGCTTGTATACGTTTGAGAAGGTTTAGCAAGTCAAAGAGAATATATGTAAAAGGAGCTCAGGAACGAGCTTAGGGGAATAGATTCCTAGCAAGTTGGATTATAGTGCAAAGTTAATGAGCTTCCGTCATCGCATAAGAAAGGAGAATATGTAGAAAGGGCTTAGGGAAATAAGTTATTAGCATGTTGGAATTATAGTGCAAAGTTAATGAGCTTCCGTCAACGACTAAGAAAGGCTCGTAAGAGAGAACGAGCTTAGAGAAAGAGAGTCGCATGTTAACGTTGATGAACTACGGTGAAGTTACGCCGGTAGACTGAACAAAGGCGGCCGAGTTGTCTACTGCGCTGTGGGGGAAGCAGAAGCAGCTGAGTGTCTGCTGGAGCAAGTGCCGTCTGCTGGGCTGTGAGGGGATCACAGCAAGTTCGGACCAACCTGGTTAATGACATCCTTCCAGTGGTTGTTCAGCTTATACCCATCTTCTCGGTTGAAGTTGTCTCTATGTTTATATATCTGGATAGCTTCATGGACAAATCTTTGATGTAGGCCCGAAGGTTTGCTGAGTACCTTGTTCTCGGAAAAAACGATATCGTGCGAGCCCACCTGATCAGCCACGGCAGAGGTATTGGTTGTGCCGTGTTTCAAATCTGCCTTGTGTTCGTGAACCCGGTCCGAGACATGTCGTTTCGTTATCCCAATGTAACTGCGACCGCAGGTACAACTCAGTTTGTAGACTCCAGGGTATTGCATGTCAAAAATGACCTCCTTCACAGCTGGGATCAGATCACAGATTTTGTGTACTGTATTGAATCGGACCTGGATCTTGTGTTTGTTTAAGATTTTGGAAATCTTTTTGGTAACAACTGCTATGTATGGTAAAGTGATGGTTTTGTCAGGCTTTAGATAGGAATCCGTGTGGATAGCTTTCCTGTAGACAGAATGTCCCAACGAGCCATGACTGAATTTCACACCAACATACGTTTTTCGCAAATTGCTTTGCGCTTCATCAGAAATTGATTGGGCTGCATCAGCTGACTGTACTTTAAATACCCACCATGAGAATGGTCTTGCACCTGAATGTGTATATGAACATGGGGTCGGCAGTATAGATGGTCGGGGGAGGAGGCAGATATGAGGTGACCGCCATTCAGTGGATGACTGACTTTTTAAACAAAAGGCATTCGTTTCTGGAGCACAGATCATGTGAAAAGGAGTTGCATTAGTTTAGAGCAGATAGTTAGATGGGAGCAAGCCTATAGAGAATCTTGAAGATAGCGGGATAAATCTCGTCGTTGTTTCGGGATTTAATTGGGAGCCTGCGGGGGTCTCCGAGGACTGGGGTAAGTCGTGTAGTTTGTGGGAACGGATGAGAAGTCTGATGACAGTATTTACAATCTTTACAAGTTTGGAAGCAATGGATTTGGGAAGGCCATAGGAGAGTTGGAGAAGTCGAGATGTGATGAAAGCTAGGATAAGGAACTGAGCTGCAGATAGGGAACTGCTTTTTGTGTTTAGTGTATTGTCCTTCCCCCGCACTTCCGATTAGCTATGTACAGTGTGAGAGAAGTTCAACATACATGTGGAAGACATTGTGTAGGAGGTAGGACATATTAGAGGAAAGTTGGAAGGGGAATAAGCTTAAGATCACTTGTGATTCCTGAATTATGTAGTCTTTCAAATGTGATATCAGCATTGAGGTGGCATGTTTTAACAGGAATATTTACACGGTTTTGCTGATGAGTATGGCCTCAAAAAGAGGGAGCTCGAGACAGCATTGTCGACTCTTTAATGCTGACCAACACGTGTTAGGTCAGGTGGGAGTACTCACACTTTACCGTACCGCATGCAATCTATAGATCGAATAGTTGTGGTGTTCCCCATTTATACTGTTGGGTAACGGAGCCAGGGGGATATTAAGAAACTTGGCCAATCGTTTCAAGTGTTGCGCCAGAAGTTCGAATAGAACCGGCGGACCTCTGGATTGCTGCTCATTGTGCTAACCATTACACCACCAGAGCTTGTAGTTGATTTTAATCATACGTTATAACATGCACATCCATTACCTTTTCACAGCTCCTCTCCCGGCTTATACTTCTTGTGGAGCCCACAGTCATCTCTCTGCTCCTGTTGGAGCTTCTTGACCTCTTCATATCTCTACTTTTGTTTAAGCCCTGCTGTGTCTCCTTGCTCCGGCTACGGCTCCGGCTACTGCTCCGGCTACTGCTCCGGCTCCGGCTCCTGCTCCGGCTCCTGCTCCGGCTCCTTTTTCGGCCACTGGGTTGCTCCCTGCTCCTGTTCCAGCCACCACGTCGCTCCTCGCTACTGCTCCTTTTCCAGCCACTGGGATGCTCCCTGCTAGTGCTCCTGCGCAGGTCCTGTTTTCTCCTGAAAAACAATAGCCGTTTTATTGTGAAGTACATGAATAGCAGCTGGAAATGAAGCTGGTGACATGTTTGAGGCTATCAGGATGTTTTGATTGCAGAAAAGAAATTGTCATCATTATCTGAAATTTTCTCACCAGTGGAGTAGAATTAAGTATACAGAACCTGTTCAACTGTCATGTGCTAAGAAGGGCCATTGCCCAAAAATCGCCTATTATATATTTTTTTCCTTCCAGTTTGGGCGGTGTTATTTACTAACGCGTTGAATTTATGTTGAACTATGGCGCACCTCGATGGGTTCTGCGCTCACTTAAGTCCACTGTGATGATGGGTACATTTTAGGCTGATGAGGGCTACCATTTTTTTGCTGTAGTCCAAACACCAAATAAAAAATCATGTTTAGTTTATATAAAGTTGTTCATGTAAACTGTACAACACACTACAAATGCATGAAGAATAACGGCCAATAGGGTGGTGGTGCTCGTCTCCGATGATGGCCCTGAACAGTTGTGGAAATTCATTTTTTTCCCATGGCAGGGGCCAAAGGGTAATTTCATATACTTACAGGGCATTGCGGCACTCCTGAACAAACCTTGAAAGAAACAAAGACACGAGGCATATCATAAGTTCAGGCACTGTTTCCTATGTGACTGGCAATATTGACATTCATTCCTTTCGTAATACAAAGCAGGAGAGACGTGATGCAGCAGTTGACACACTGTGCTATGAAATTGACGACATGAGATCAACTCCTGGCCCTGCCTAAAATTTCTGGCGAGTGATATATGAATAAGTCCTATGCACCCCCCACCCCTCCATCAACCTGCACTAACCGGCACAATAAAACAATACCCCATGACCAATATAGCACGGGAAGGCCTTCATCCAGCAGTGGAATGAAAAAGGGCTGTACATAACACAGAATGCCCAACCCAGTTGTCTTATCTGACCTCTCAAAACTCCACGTGCATCTCACGACAGCGGTGTTAAAGTAATCGGCGTGGGTTTTCAGCAGCCAGCCCACGCCGTAACTCGGCATCGTGAAAAGTAGATGCTTTTAGATGGCATTTGTAACACAATGTATTTCAAACTAAAGCAAAATATTACAAGACTTAAGGTATGCAGATCACCGTGTTTGACATAAATGTTTGGCCAATACAAAGAGTGCATGCACTCATCATCAACTTAATTTCACCAGTTGCAAAAGCCCATGTAGACTAAATGTCTCATTCTCAAGTAAGTTTGAGGTCACAAACGACCATCCCATATTTCATTTATGCAACGACTAAATGCAACCGCCATCTTGAGATGAAATGTCACAAAACATCAACAATGGTATAACTAAAATATACATTAACTTTCAATAAGATGTATTTCGGATATATGCATGCAGAAAAGTTCAAAAACACATTTGGAGTGACCACTCACCGATTTGAAAACAAAAACGAGTTATATCTGTGTCGTTCTGAATCCTTGTGAGTTTTCAATTCCTGTTGAGGGGAAGATGGGGAGGATAATAACGAATCGAATGCGTTTTAATAGTTCACAAAGACGAGGCATGAAGGGTGTTCTGATATTAGTCCTTTCATGAATCTGATTTACAATGTGGCCCATTACTAATCACAGATTAACCTCTCAAGAGGCCAACTGCACCCACAACAGTGGTGTGAATCTGTCTTCTGTTGATTATCAAAGCCCAAGTAGTCTTGCTTTGGATGTTCGAAAATTTTGTTGGGTGCATTGACAAATTGCCGGTAGAAAACCTACATGCTGGAGCTTACATTATTCAAACTCTGCTCTACATATAGCCTGCTAGCTTTACTACCCGGCTTCGCCCGGGACTTGGATTCTTGTCTTGGATTAATACATGGCCAACGCGGAGGGTGAGGGGGTTGCGTGACGTCAGCAGACACACTGCATAATGCTTCCGCATGCGATGTCACCGCTCACTTGTCGTGCAAAATATATCCATTATTGCGCTCCCCCCCCCCCCACCAAAATTTATACTTTTTGCATTGTGTAGTCTGGAAGCTACCCACGTGCCAAAATCAAGTTTGTTGCATGTCAGGAAGCATGCTAAACATTTCGAACAGACACACATATTAATACATTTCCTTTTAATATATAACGAGGGGGTGGGTGACAGCACCACGCCCGGCCGCCTTTGTCCCCCCAGTGGCGATATTCCCAGCACACGAGTTACTCCTTTGAGGCTGAGTCGACCTAGGGGAGGCCCAGGACCGGTTAAAATAATCGTCACCGGTGGTGGCCGTGTGCGGGAATGGAACTCGGGTAGCCGGGTTAGTAGCGCAGCGCGCTAACCACTACACTACAATATGTTACGCTTCCATATGCGTGGGTCATATGACAGATTTGACGTCACAGCTCACTTGCTGTGCAAACAAAATATGCATTATTGAGCTCCCCCCCCAAAAAAACGTGTATACCCACATGGCAAATTTCAAGTTTGTTGCATGTCGGGAAGTACACTAAACATTTTGAACAGACACATATTCACAAATTTCCCTTTTATATATATGGAGATAATGAAAAGCCTACTTGGTGCCCTGCCCCCTACAGGCACCTCGCTGCATCTCTTCCTCATGATGATCCCATCTCAATGCTCAACCACACCTGTGTAAGGACAGTATAGGGCCTAAGGGCCGCAAATAAGGATTGTAGCGATGAGGGCAGGCAGGGTCAAGTGAGGTAACTGGGTGAGGAGTCACCGCGGGGGGAGGTGTGGAACCCACGAGGTGTTAGCGAGGCGAAGGAGATCTCCGATAGGAGAGAGTTCAGGAAAAGGGGTGTGGCGGAGCCGAGGTGAGATAAAAGGCAGCGCGGAGTGAGGCTCGAGGCTGCCGTGGGGGAAGTCCGGACCGTCGTCACCGTCAACGCTGTGGATCGACCTCATCGTCTTGGAAGACTAGCGAAGGGAGTTATATATTTACGCCGTAGCTACTACGCCAACGGCTCCTACAGTCAGCTATGTAGCGAGTGTCGTGTAGCAGATACATAGAAGTCACCCAGTTGTAAATTAGTCAACCTGCGTCCAGTCGGGTGGAATGTATTTTATATATTAACTTATGACAGCGTCTCTGAGTGCTACATTACACCTGCATGGGTGGGAATGTTCTATCTCACCTGATCGCTGGTTAGTCCCACGTCGCAAATGCTGCAGTGCTTCTCTTTTCCGTTGACGAAATTTCCCAAGTAGCAATGTATCTCCGCCCTCAGCGGGAAGCTTCTTGTCATGAATTTTGTTTCACAGGCAACCGGAGGGGTCTTCAGCAGAAGCGGAGGAGGGGTCTTCAGCAGAAGCGGAGGGGTCTTCAGCAGAGCTTTGCCACACGCAACTTTGGGCCACGAGCAGTTTTTAGGAGGCATGGTGGATGTTGCCGAGGTAACTCCCGGTTTCCAGGGTTCCTGAAATGAGTTACACGGAGCCTTGTCTGGGGGCTTATTCGTGCTCTGGAATGGCGGTTGTCCCTCTGGGCCCTGTCCCATTGGATGCTGCTGCTGCAAGTTGTGAGAAGTAGGCTGAAGCTGCTGTTGTGAGTGGTGAGGCATAATGCTAGGCTGCTGCTGATTTTGCAAGCTCGGAGGCATCGAGGGAAAGTAAGATTGCTGCCGTTGCAAGCTCTGAGGCATGGGGGGAGGGTAATGATGCTGCTGTTGCACGCTTGGAGGCATGGGGAGGTGATGCTGTAAGCTCTGAGGCATGGGGGGAGGGTGATTATGCTGCTGTTGCAAGCTCTGAGGCATGGAGGGTGGGTGATGCTGCTGTTGCAAGCTCTGATGCATGGGGATAGGGTGATGCTGCTGTTGCAAGCTCTGATGCATGGGGGGAGGGTGATTATGCTGCTGTTGCAAGCTCTGAGGCATGGGGGGAGGGTGATTATGCTGCTGTTGCAAGCTCTGAGACATGGGGGGAGGGTGATGATGCTGCTGTTGCAAGCTCTGAGGCATGGGGGGAGGGTGATTATGCTGCTGTTGCAAGCTCTGAGGCATGGGGGGAGGGTGATTATGCTGCTGTTGCAAGCTCTGAGGCATGGGGGGAGGGTGATTATGCTGCTGTTGCAAGCTCTGAGGACTGGGGGGAGGGTGATTATGCTGCTGTTGCAAGCTCTGAGGCATGGGGGGAGGGTGATTATGCTGCTGTTGCAAGCTCTGAGGACTGGGGGGAGGGTGATTATGCTGCTGTTGCAAGCTCTGAGGACTGGGGGGAGGGGGATAATGCTGCTGATGTTGCTGCTGCTGCCCAGGTAGCACTAATTCAGGTATATCCACATCATGCAGGACCTTAAGCACCTGCTGTGGTTGCACCATCTCCGCATGCTGTGACTGCTTTTGCCTTAGGTCCCTTCTTCTGCATACCTCCTCAAGGAGGTTGGGCAGGTTTTCGGGTGTTAGTTTGTCAGAGGGATAGCGGCAGAGCTCAGTCACATCCTCCTCAGAGAGGCCGAATGACTCCAGTAACCCAGATACGATGCCTTCACTGCTGTCGCCATTAGCCAATAGCAAAGCATCGTCAGCCATCCTGCCGACTGACAGGATGTACTTTGAGAGCAATCACTGTGCGGAGTGCGAAGGGACTGTCTTTAGAGAGGTGGATGCAGATGCAGTCTCAGAGTATGTTGAGGCAATGGACGCAGCTCCAACTCCCATCAGCAAAACCTATTCAAAACAAACCATTAGTGCACTTGAAAGGCAGTTTTGTACAAGTATAATGCCTAGATGTTTGAACAAATAACCATTTTAATGGGAATTAACTCACTAGAGAACAAAAGACAAGTATCACATTCTTGTCTTCATGGATAAGTAATATTTAAAAAAAAACTTTTTAAAAGCACACTTTTATTAAATATACCATACTAGCAATGGAAGAACTCCACGACTCCAGGAAGTGGCCCCGAAGCTTGCCATAACATAAGGGGCCGTGGTGATTTACAGCCAACGTCAGTTGACCGTGGACAATTAGAGTCAAGCCGAAACATAACATGTAAAAAAGGAATTTTTAAAATATATATTTTTATGATAGAATATAGTATTGTCGTCAGTATGACATAAGTACACCAAGTTTGCAGTCGATACCACATTGGGAAGTGAGTAAAAATTGAGTTGCAAGATTTGAGGATACAACAACGACAACAACAGAGTGAGTTAATAAAAAAAGCATGTAAAAAGAAATGCAATCAAGAATGAAATACAGGAATAAAACTGCTGGATGCAGGCCTCCGTCGCAATCCCTCACAGTCCTGTGATGCCAGTCCATATGAATTGATCACATTGTGCCATCAGTCATCTCAAGAGGGCTCTCTCATTTGGCTGCCATTCTGCCCCCAGTCTATCAGCCACTGTCCCTTGTCGCGATGTAACCTGCTAAAACCCACCTACTTTCCTCAAAAGTCAACATGTGTTTTGATTTAAAGCTTTCGTGACTGCAGGGATTCATATTCTTGGTTCTTTCGGTAAAGTCACGTAGAAGGGAAATAATAATACATATCAAACATATAGTATTGTCATCAGTATGATATAAGTATACCAAGTTTGCAGTCGATACCACATTGGGAAGTGGGTATATTTTTATTACTTGATTGTTTCCCTTATACGTGACTTTACCGAAAGAACCAAGAATATAGTCGATATATGGTTTATATAATTTAACCCACGTACTCTTGTCAGTGCAAGTGCAAACGTGCACATCATCAAGCTCCTTCATACACTTCCAGCTTTTGTCGACATTCATGTTTATACTTTATACCCCATGCAATAGCAGGCAATATGCACAGACTGAAAACTATTTTCCTCCTGCAAATGTTTACGTTGCTCTTCATTATAAATGTCAACGTTTCAAAATAATCCCCATGCCGCTGTTATTCCACTGTAGCTATGCATTTTTTTAAAATATAGATTTAAAACCGACTTCTTTACAACTACTTTTTGTGTTAAGAGTTTGTTGTGCTCCCACCGCACCGATTAGCACGTTGGGCTACGTCCGGTGCGAAAGAAGTTCAAAATACAACCACCTCGCCTCGTATACAGGGGGTCGTGGCTTCGATCCCGACCTTGACGCCTGCTGCTGGATATTCTTGGTTCTTTCGGTAAAGTCACGTAGAAGGGAAACAATAAAATAAAAATAAAACAATAAATTATTGTTTTGTATACAATAAATTATTGTCACGTAAAAGGGAAATAATAAATTAAAACAATAAAATGCTCACGACGTTTCGATTGCAACACAAGCAATCATCATCAGAAATGTCTTGCTGTGGTTTTCACAGCTGATGATGATTGCTTGTGTTGCAATCGAAACGTCGTGATAATTTTATTGTTTTATTTTTATTATTGTATTGTTTCCCTTCTACGTGACAATAATTTATTGTATATTAAACAATAATTTACTGTTTTATATTTTTATTATTTTATTGTTTCCCTTCTACGTGACTTTACCGAAAGAACCAAGAATATGAATCCCTGCAGTCACGAAAGAAGCTTTAAATCGAATAAAGCCTGCTGCTGTATACTTGGGAGTTTGTGGTGTCTCTCTCTTCGTGGTCGTGTGGATTTTTCTCTGGGTCCTCCGGGTTTCTTCCTCCACATTTAGCATCAACATCACACCACGCGTTCAGTCTTTCGTCCGCTGTACATTTATTTACACATGATAAGCCACTAAGCTGAGCCATCATTTGTGGCCAGGTCGCTTCTGAAAACTGAGATACACAGCTCAGCGGGCCTCACCTGGTAAAGTAAAGCTAGTTAAGTGGGATTTAGGTTTGGCTTTCTACTTGGCGTATTCGATTCTCGCTGGCCACATTACTTCCAGAAGTTAAATGCCCGGCCACGGGGGGAGGGCTTTTCAAGGTTGTTTCCGTGTAGTTTATGGGTGGACAGCACCACCCACGGCCGCCTTTGTCTCCCAGTGATGATGCTTAACCACCGTGGTCACTCGTTTAAAGCCCCAGAGTCGAGGCAAGAGAGAAGAAGCCCCCAGGAAATTGCGTTCAGATATTCGCCACCGATGTTGGCCGTGAGCGGCTTCAGGAAACACAAAACGGGCCGCCATTTGACACCAAGCCGCCGGTGACAGTCGCAACCAATGCCCCCCCCCCACCCCTGTTTGTGCCCAACTAGTTGCACGGTTACGGAACCAGGCTAGGTGCACCTTTCATGAGACGGGGCTTCCCGGCAGCAGCTGCTGCTGCTGCTTGTTGCGAGCTCACAGAGGCCGAGGCGCCAACCGATTGCCCGACCGCGGAGTCGGCGTTGTTGAGGAGTCTCGGAACGAAGCCCCCGCTCGTGATTAATTATTCTCTACCGTCGCCCATCGTCGCTCGGCGGAGAGGAGAGCAGTGGGTGGTGCGGGTGGGTGGGCAGCGAGAGCGTCGTTGCGAGACTCACGGCCGACGAAGATGGACGCGGATTGAACGGGAGACGGAAGGACGCGGACCAGACGCAGCACAGCAGACATGTTGGGTGGGGGGGGAAGGGAGGACGCTGATAGGTCCGCGGTGAACTGCGCCCGTGTCGCACCAAAAAAAAAACACATGTCAGTGTAAGGGACCGCGGTGAATTGGCGTTCGCTATTCGAGCTGACCGTGCCGTTGACACGGTAAGGGGGTGGGGGGGTCATCTCAGTCGGTCAACCCATGGCACCTGGCTGGGTCTGTACCGTGACCTCCTGCACCTAAGGGCCGTCCATAAATGACGTCACGCGATTTTGGACGATTTTTGACCCCCCCCCCTCGTCACACGGCGTCACAAAAAGTCTGAGACCCCCCCTCAAATATGACGTCACAAAGCTCTGCCCCCCCCCCCAAAAAAAACATGCTTCAAATCGCTTTAAACTATTGTCATTGTAGTGCGTATTTAATGTGGCGCTGCACTCTGATGTTGTAGGAGTAAACATTTATTAAAAAGTATATTTAATTAAGTGGAACGTGTTGTCTATATTTATTTAAAGTTGCGCATTTTGATGTGACGTCACATTTCTCAAACCCCCCCCTCGTCACACATCATCACAAATGTCTGAACCCCCCCCCCCCAGGTGCGTGACGTCATTTATGGACGGCCCCTTAACACCGAGGTCTCGAAATACAGAGGCTTAGTGACACAGCGCCGCCTGCTGTACAGCAGCTGTAACTGCAGGTAGACACAGCGCACACGCCGTTGATCACACATACACGGCTGTGTGCCGGCAGGGCAGAGGAACTGGGACAAGGGTCACGGTAGACCTCATAGGGAGGCCCTTGGAACCCTCTGGTTGGTTCGAGAAGGGAGGCGTGGCTAGGGCGGAGCCAAGTCGCGCCGAGGGGAATAAAAGCAGCGGAGAGCGAGGGCTCGGGGCTGCCGGTTCTGGGAGTGGACTCATCTCATCGTCGACGTCTTCGTCACTGCCGCCTTGACCTGATCATTTCGTGGCCGAACAGTAGTTGGCCGTCTTGGTCGACGTCGTCAGTGCAACGCAGGCCGGGTCGTACGGCAGCGTGGTCGTGAGAGGGGGCCGGAGTTGGTGGCATGAAGATAATAAAGGAAAGCCAGTGCCCTCCTGCGACTACCTCGTCTCCGACTGAATGTGTGCGCCACATGCCACCCACACGCCTCAAGAGAGAGAAGAGACCTACGACACTACAGATGTACAAACAAGCAACACAGTGAGCAGGTTAACACTTTGAGTAATTAGAATCACCAAGGCCTTAACAGAAACTGTGGGATTTTTTTATACTTTGAAAAAACCTTCAATTTCTTCATTACATGTTCAACTTTCAGGAGTCATGAAATAGCTTGCAAAACAGCTTCCACACGGATGACTGCAACAACTTAATTCCGCAGTCTGTAAATTCCACGGTGAATGGCACCTTTTAAATTTTGACCAAATTAATAACTCAAATCGGCAGCCTTTATGGAACGCAATGATTTTTGACCAGGCGCTCAAACCGTCAACATAACCCTAATCGGCCATTATCCACTGCTGGA